AGTAACTCACCTTTGTTTCCTCTTCTTCTCTCCACTGTAACTCTTCTATCGATACAAAATTACACCGTTCTTCTCCTCTGCTTCACCTCTCAGCTCTCTCTCGCTATTCGTCTGTGTGCTGTGTGTGTCTGGCCCGGTCTGCCGAGCGATGTCGGCCGTGGCGCCGGTAGCTGGGAGCGGGGAGCGGGGAGGGGGGAGGGGGCACAGGTGTGGGCCGTCGCCCTCCTTTGATAGACCACAATACCGGACACCTGTACACACGCTGCCGTCGACCGTGCCCTGTCACTAATGGTGCGGCCGTGCAGCGGTGGCAGAGAGGCCGGCGGCGCAGCAACCGAGACCGAGAGAGTTCGGGACGGTACGCCGCATATATCCGGCTCCCCACGCGCGCCGGATCGGTACGGGACGGGACGGGACGGTGCATTTATGCGGCCCTCTACGCAACCCTGACACGGCGCGGCATGGTACGCAGTGTCACGGCTACGATACGCAATACGCATGTCGTCGGACAAATAACCGATACAATCGGCTGGTATCGAAAGAGCCCAATAGGTGTGTACCTACATTGTAAGTACACCTCTTCTTTTGACGTCCAATGGCTGCTGTTATGGTGAAGCGTATAACTTTGAGAGATAAAAAGTGCAATATGTTTCAATATCTTCTATTCATTTTCACAAAAGAATCACTCCCAGCCCCACACTCCCAAATGATAACTAACATTCTCAACCCGTTATCACGATCGAGCAGTCGACAACGGGCCATGCGGTGCAGCATAACTTCAGGCGCATATCGTCCTGCCACCTATCGGACAGTACGAGCAGCTCAAGTATCGTCCGCCTCCAGTAGAGACTCGACTCTGCCGATTGCCGAAGCCCGGGATAACTATCGGTCTATACAAATCTGTTTCTGACTTCTGTATTATCCATTAGGCATTTTCGCCATTGCACATGGATTCTGTATGAGAGCATGACGACCTTAGGTCAATTTCAATATGTGTCATGTCATTTGCGGATGAGTAGGTAGGTAGGTATACCTATTTGGCTGTGCTGAGTGCTGACCCCTGACGTACGTACAGCCCACCGCTAAAGTAATGTAGGGTTTTACCAATCTCAACGGTTGGCTTTGACTGGCGATTGTTTAACCCTCGCACGACCAGGCCATTTCTCATAACACGAACGACCGGGGGGGGGGGGTTGTTACGACCCCCCCTGGCGTTTCGAAACGGAAGGTCGTAGAGCTTAGCGGAAAAAACCAACGGATTGCTCTCAACGAGATCTCGCGATTGGTGGTATATTTTTTGGTCCTAGGTCAACATTTGACCTACTTATGACCGGTCAAAGGTCAAATTTTCCGAAAAAATCAAACTTTTTCAACTTTCCGCGGCGATTGCAGCAAAACGGTGGGAGATATCGACTTGAAACCTTCACTATCGTATTCCTTGATCAATTCTCTATCGTTTGGTATGTATTTCGTTTCCCTAGCTCTAGAAATGGCGCGTTGGGAGCGCCGGAAGTCGGCAAGGTCACAGTCGGCGGCAGAAATTCGAAAAATCAAAATTTAAATTTTTGAAATCTGATTGTATTTTTGGATTTGGGAGGTCCATTTGCTCCCTATAGAAGCTAATATTGCTGCATATTCCCATTGAGGTGACAAGAATTAGCAAAATAGTGGTTCGGGCGCTTTTCAAAAATAGTACCGGACGCTGTTCCTCTTGTGACGTCATAGCTCCGTGACCTGATCTGACCCGGTCAATTTTCTTGCACCACACGATAGCCAATGCTTGCCCCAACATGCATGGGAAGTTTCATCATGATCCATCAAACAATGTGGGTATCACCGGCAGAAAACCTAGGGATTCGGCGCACACGTTTGGTAACTGTCGGCCGGAGGCTGTACCTCTTATGACGTCATAACTCCGTGACCTGACATGACCCGATCATTTTTTTTTTCGGCAAAAGATGCGCAAAGGTTGACCCAGAGGGTATTGAAAATTTCAGCCCGCTACGACAAGCCGTTTAGCGTGCACTTCGAAAAAACCTCAGGGGGGGGGGTTGATACAACCCCCCCCCCCTAGGCGTTCTAGGGTTAATGCAGAGTGATCGAAAAGAAGATGTCAATAGATAAAGTTGCAGCTGCAAGGGTGACGATACATATAAGCTACATTCAAAGTTTCATTGTAGTCTGGCTAATCGTTCCTAAGCTTCAGAAGAAGAACATACCCATGACTGAAACCACACATTACTTCTGCTGTGGACTGTACCTATCAACGAACTTGGAATACCGAACAGAGGAGCCGGAGCAGTCTGATATTTCGTGCCTTACGATCAATTTATGTTAACAATACATCATTAAACATTAACCCCTCATTTGACCTATTGTTCCAACTTCAACCCCTCATACTCGTATCGCATGTGAGAAATGAGCGAAGAATATGTCTTCTGTCATATAGGAACCTTGGCCTCCTGCTCATTACAGTAAGGCGAGCTGGTTTCTTTACCATATGGAAAAAAGGCATAGGAATAGAAAGAGTAATAAATAAGCAAAACTCATATATTTATGGTACAAGTTATTTGCTCACAATGTCTACTTGCAGGTTCATTCCACCAAAACACATCCCTATGTATATCTGGCTGCAATTTTCATGGTCTCGATACTGTTTTCAGCGGACCACTGCTGGCCATGTTGAAGCAGGTCTGATATTCCCCTCCCTTCAACTGGCCGTCTCCGGCGCTGTGCCGCCGCCGAGCAAGGTTCGTCTCACTGGCCTGATTGCCTGCGGCGCCCGGCGACCCCTGAGACGTTCCTGGCGCAGCCGCGGCCTGATTAAGCCGCGGCCGGGTGCGCCGCAATCTGCCGCAGACGCGCTGCATATGCCGCTAACCGTGTTAGCGTGGCAGCCGGGCCGCCGGCGGTGGGCGGCAGGTGATACATGCTCCCACCGGGAGCGGCCGCGAGCTCGACTCGGGACGTGGGCTGAGACGGCTGCAGCCCTGCAGGAGAGTGCTGCAGCCCGGCAGCCAGCTGCAGCCAGCTGCAGAAGCCCAGCGGCTCAACACCGCAGCTCGGCGGTCGACCGTTGGCTATCACAGCAGCCATGTGTGGGCAGTAATCGCCACGCCATGTGTGGATCGCCCATGATCGTAAATACATAGGTACATACATACAATCCATTGCAATGATGATAGTGAACGTTTTTCTCTTATATTTCTTATTGCATTTTAATATGAAAACTCTAGTATTTTACTAGCGAGTATTTTATTTGTGATACACGATTGAAAAATGTCCTAAATAAAATCTAGTGAATTTTACTTGTGTTGGAAGGAAATAAAGAAGTTGACACGCTACTCTCAAAGGTGGCGTAAATTTCATGCATATTGATGAAACTATATACACCATCCAGTAGGTATTTGTTAGTTGTTTGAGGTAACCTCAGATGATAACTTTAAACATCGTTCCTTTCTTCTTAGGAACCAAGCAACAAAATCTGCATCACCTAATTTCCAACATTGAACTGTCAATCTGACATACCTTTTTCAGCTTATTGCCAACTTTCAATTGCTGCTCGACGAGTGAATAAACGATAACTCAAGTTCTAAGCCCCTGATGTCGATATTGTTACCTACTCGTTAACTTTTGCCACAGTTATACACTACACACAACTGTAAACAAAACTTGGAAATAACAGCTTGCTCTCCGACTACATATAACTTCGGGTCACTAATTCATTTTTTAACGTGGACAGCTAATTACTCATATCACTGAACCCATCCATTTTTCAAGTTCAGTGCATCGACCTCATACTAAACGCAGCCCCAGCGAACCCCTCGCCGTGCTTTGTTTCCATGAAAGGGAGCCGGGCGGGTTTTATTATCACCGCCGATACGAGGGTGACATGGCGTCGGTTGGTGGTGACAGGAGGGCTCCCACAGCGGCCTGCGACACCCTCCATCCCTTCCTGTAGGGATTGTTTGCTGTTCGTGCCCCCTTTTCCTCCGCTTTATGCCGCGCTCTGCTCGGCAGTCGGTCACTCAGTGCGATAATGTCGAATGTCCGTATAACATACAAAAGATAACATGAATAGGGATCAGATAAAAGAGGGAGATAGTTTTAGTCGATGGTGCAGTAATGCGCTGCCATGTGACGGCACTATTGACATGTGCCTGCAGTCGACAAGTCATTGGCAAGGCAACAAGTCCAAGGCATCTTGCTGTTCTGTTATTTTCTTATTTATTGTCTTCGTAATGATTGGGATTGCTGATCAGCTGGGCTGGGCTGCAGCATTCGTTCATTTCACTCTCCTCACCATCCTCCTCACTCATCATCACCATCACATCATCATCTCATCATCATCACCTGCCTGCACAGTGCACCCTCTCTCCGTAGTCCGTACTATCTGTGTTAGTGCTCACCATCAATGTCCATCGTCCTTTTCCCGCTCGTGTCTGTCAGCCGCCGTCGGTACACCGTTACACCACCCATCCCGACTGCCTGCTCTGCTAGCGGCAATAGAAACGCTGAGCGCCCATCGGCCGCGCGGCGTGCCCTCATCGGACGCATTTGCACATAATCCAATCGGGAGCGAGCCGCTCGATCCGAACATGATTGGCGACCGTGACTAGCGTGTCTGGGTCGCCGTCCCGCCGCCGTCCCGCCGCTGTCCCACCGCTCCGGCACCGCTCTCAATGCCCGCCCGTCCGCTCCCAAAGGAACTGCGGGAGCTCCCGCCCGTCCAACACAAAGCGCAATGGATTTAAATACACGGCCGGTATCGGCTGTGCGCCAATCATTTCGGCCATTAGGGCTACAATGGGCCAGGACGGGGGATCATATGACGGCGGCCTCGCGGCGAGGGGAGAGAGAGACAGTGGCGGCGCGCTGCGGCGAGCGGCGGCGCGGCGGCGACAGACGTGGCGCCACCTCCGAGCCGAAAGGACCAGCTGCAGAGGACCGGGGCGAGTGAGAGTGAGAGGAGAGCGCCGGTTAAAGGGAGAAGGTGAGAGTGAGGGAGGAGACCACCAGTGTCAACATTGGAGACGGCGCAACAAATCTGTCAATCGAGTGATCCGCTGCGGACTGAAGAACACCATCATTTGTCGAAAAAGGAGCATATCTCATCAAAAACACAACTTCAGCACATATAAAGGTGAGTACATACCATAGTCGAACGTTGCGGCCCCCTCATAAGTTTTATGTTTACATTTTATCGTGAATTGGAGGAAGACCTTTCGGGTTTCAAAATAGGATTTGTTTCCGCCGTGTATATTTAGCGTGAGCGGAACTATACCGTCTCAATATAGCCGACCAGACAGGTTCCGAGGACGGTTCAGTCCCCCGAAGAAGGGGCTCAGGGACTCTAACAGGATGTCATTAGCTTTCAGTAGGCCGGCATCGGTGATGCTTTTCAGTTCTGCTCCTTATCTATTTTAGGAAGCGATTCTTTCTTACGCAGATATTTTATGTGATCGTTCGGGGCTGGTTTGTTCGGTTCGCTTGGATTTCTTGAACATCCTTGTCTTTCCGATTTATTACTGTCGGGGAAGTGTTGAGTAGCTTCAATACTTCTGAACCTAATCGAATACCTTTTATCACTACACTTGACTGTCCTGCAGCCCCTAAGGTCTACAGCTGTCATCAGTGTGCCAAATGCCTTATATACCCACCTTTGTCAGCGGAAATTAGTTCACGGCATGTTGGGTCCTTTGGCAAACGGTATGTGATATCACAATTGTATCGCTCATCTTTCTCAAACGAGACTGATTCTGATTCTGCGGATCCCACACGGATCCATTTCAGGGATCCTCTCCCGGACACCGCTGCTGGCTGATCTCGGATCGTCGGCAGTGCGTCGGTATCGTCGGCAGTGCGTCGGTGTCGTCGCGTCGGCGCCGCCCCGCGAGCCCGTCCCTCCGCGGTGGGCGGTCCGACAGCAGTTCGCGCAGTGGCCGCAGCGCGGCGCTACCGTCGCAGCCGGCCGGTATCTGCCCTGAGTTGTCCTCCGGCTGGGGAAGGGCGCTGGTCCAGGCCGCTTTATCTGGTCACAGCCGGGATGGCTGCCCAGCGCCTGGAGTCGGAGGGTAGCCTGCTGGCCACGGAGGCTCCCAACGTGCTGTGCACGCGGCTGCCGGGCCACTGGCGCTCCAACAAGACGCTACCGACGTGTTTCCGCGTGGTGTCACTAGATGGCATTAGTGACGGCACGGAGGTCATCCTGCGGGCTGGCAATGAGGACAATCCGTGTGCCGAGGTCCGTAACAACCGGGCCGTCATGAAGGGTCAGGTGGCCAAGTTCTCCGACCTGAGGTTCGTCGGCAGAAGCGGTAGAGGTGAGTGGAAATATTAAGTGCGGGACTTTCAGCTAATCGTAGTGTCACATCCTCAGCCCAATTCATTAGTGATGGCGAGCGAGATAGTCACACGGTTAATGAGATTTCGACAAATCAAATATCGACATCGACGAACAATTTCGACAAATCAAAATGGTTCCTCTATTTTTATAAAACAACTCGTTATGATGCAAGCAGGGTCAAAAGGATTTACCCTATGAAGTATAAGTAAAACTTAACGCCACGAACAGCGGCGCAATGCGTTGCAGTGCAGATATCACTTCTTACCGCAGTGGCTGTGTTGTGCCTTGTTATGAAGAAGTACCTACCTTTAATTTGGAATGAAATGTTTTGAATTAGATGCGCAATGAATACTCCAGTTCTATTAATGACGTTCGAGTAAATTATTCATGCATTTATACGACAACAAGATGCTTAAACATTTCACCTTAGGCAGAGGTCTGATGGTTATTAATTCAAAGCAACCCCTAATAATGGCCGAATGTCCTGCAGCTTTTAAACGCTGTCCCTTGCCCCTTATGTCGGCCATAATGACAAATAAATACACTCATCAGAAACATCCACATACTAGCTACATACTCGGCATATGGTTTACAACGATAGCAGCATCACCATGTCGTGCTTGACCAATTAAATGAGTCATTAGGATCAGTTAGGCCGCTGCAATGCACTAATCATCTTCTACAGTTTCTATTGCAAGGTGACTTGGTGACTACATGGTTATGAATTACGGCGTGCATGTTGATACTTTGTGGCGCTTAATATGCAGTGATAACTGCCATTGGGTCTCGTTGAAGGAGCGTCCAATGTCCCACGTAATGCATTGGTTGAAAGCGATGCAGTTTGACTGGGGTGGCGTATTATTATACTCATATCTCAGTAGTGATGTAGTCCACTTAGGCATGAATATTGGCCCCATTGTATTTTTCTACAAAGCAATTACTCATAATTTTGAAGCAGGACATGTCAGGTATCTTTTACCGTATTGTTATTGTTATGTAACACTGATTGACTTTCACATGATGATAGTGCTTTAGATCCAGTAAAAAAAGAAACTTGATGATACATTTTTAGTTCAAGAGTCAATGAGCTTTCTTATAAATGGCCGCCAAAAATTATCTCCCTTATAATCTTGCTTATATTTGTTTATGTTTTGTATATGAAGGTGCTTACATTTGCTGATGTTTTTGCCCCTGTCACGGTGCCCGCGCCCGCGCCGTGGCAGGGCGAATGAATGAATGTATGGAAACGAGTGGCGGTGACATAATGATACACTCTCCACACTCACTTAAAAAAAAAAAATAGTCTAAGGCCATTCAAGGTAAGATCGCCAGGTCACGTCAAGTGAACCAAACAGAAAAGCTCGCTATAGTTTAACCAACTGAACGGTTTTTTTTTTAAACTTCCAGTGCCTATTTGATGAGGATCAGCAAATACATCAAACGAAGAGATAGGATTTGTATACCACTGAAATAAGTCCGACTTATTTTTCCGCACTCTCAATCACAAGTCAAGTTATCTAGAATGCATTTAATTACTTACTAGCTTAATAGCATCTCATATTTTACATTTAGCCTTGACCCGGTTCAGGATGATTCCATCTCATATGCTCTAAGAAAGTTCTTCCTTGACCATTTGTCAGTAAGCATGGAGTTTGGCAGCAAAAATGTAAATTTGTAATGTTGCATGTAAATATGTAAATATGCATGTATTCAACTGCTCTTTTAACCCTTGCCGACAGAGGGGGGGGGGGGGGGCTCAGGTCTGTCAGGTCTGTCCGTCTCACCATTACATATAAGTCAATGAGAAATCACGGAAACTGCTAACTATTTTGGCGCCGGGAATGATTTAAAACTACCTCAAACATATGAAATCATGATTACATGCGCTCTTTGCAAAGTCCCATGTTTCACTTTTGCATCTTTGACCTTGCATGACGTCATAACTGACGCCATGCAAAGACACCATGACGTCATGTGACGTCATCTATTACGTAACAAAGGTCATACGTGTTTTGTGTCAATAACTCCTGATCAAATTGTTCTAGCAAATCAGAAAAGTCATCATGGTCTCGAGAAGACTCGCCAAATCAAATGGTATGCTGTAATATGATCCCCTTCAAGGCCAACTTTGTGACCTGAATGGCACTGACCCAGCCTTCACCTAGGGTCAACACCTTAACTTGACCTCATCCGAACAAAAGGCATTCAAGCATGAAGAACACGATGGTGCGAAAATGCGGCTCTGCAACGATTTTTGACGAAGATATTTACCAAAAACCAAACTTCCACCTTGGGGCACCTGACCTGACCTCAGAGGTCAGGTCTGATCTGAAACCTTACATAAGCTTGGGTACCAGTAACTGCGTCTCGTAACTGCGCACGCGCTGCTTTTTGCACAAGGCACTAACTCAATTGGAAGCGAAACGGTGAGGGGGCCATACCCCTCTCCACCCTCGACCGGCGCGCATATGTATAGAAAACCGATTGTTTCGGCGAGTGTTTGAGAAATTGCTTGAATATTTTTGTTTTCAAACAAAAACACGGTAGATAACTATGTTCTTAGTTTTGCGCTTCCCTAGCCAGGGGCGGCGGATTCGGGGGGGGCAGGGGGGGCAGCTGCCCCCCTGGCAAATTCGTGGGGGGGGGCAAAAGTATCTTTTTGCCCCCCCCCCATAATTTGTGACAAAGCCAAGAAAAGAAACCATATACCTGATTATGCTGTTCGATCATCTGAAGATGTAACCAGATGCCCATATACTTTATCATACGTTGCCTTTCTTAAATGGCAAGCGTTCGCGTTCAATTGAAGTTTTCCTCTCTTCAACCTAGTTTTGGAGGCATTATAAGCGTCAGCGTGACGCAGCAGCAACCCAGGCCTTCAGTGACCGTTTACAGGGGCGACGGATACGGGGTGGCAGAGGAGGCATCGTCCCCTAAGAAACTTTTGGAGGAGGGGCAAACGCATATTCTTGCCCCTCCATAATTTGTGCCTTAAACATGAGGAAAATTTCCATAACCTGATATTGCAGCTATGCGCTCCTACAGTTTGTCCAACGGTGCCTTTTGAATATGTGTAAATGCTAACCATTTCCGCTTTATATCATTTTTTTTTTGTCTTTTCAGGTTCGATTTAGAGATATTTTAAGCGTGCAAGAGACGCAACTCATACCTTCAGTGGTCGTTTGCCGCTATTTTGTCCCTACATAAATGCCGAATCGCAAGCGAGCGGAGACTGAAGGGCTCTAGCCATTCGCTTGCGGGTAGTTAGGACTAATGAGCGCTCATAATAAGCCACTCCCCTGATTTTTTTCGAGCGCAAGTTTCCAGCGCATAAAATGGTAAACGCTGAGGTCGTACACATTGACCGCATTGACCAATGCACGGTATGGTATGACACCCAAAGGCCAGTCATCAGAGATCTGCTTTGGGCATTCGGAGGCTTGTGTGGGGCCAGTGTAAAAACTGGATGTTCACAGTTCAGTATCCGCTTTATTTCGATTTCACTATTAAAAAATTAAATATTAATGTTGGAAACTTTTGAGGGTTAGGGCACTGATCATTAGTGGGCCCCCCTCTGTCTAAAGGCTGGCTATAGAATAAGAGCATCAAACACGAACAGTAGCGGCGGAACACCTTCAATTAAAGGGGGGGGGGCACTGCCGACTTTTGGTCCCTTTCTTTCCTTGCAACGCCCATATCGCTAACGTTAAAATGCCAAAATCAAAGGGGGCACGGTGCCCCGGTGCCCTCCCCGTTCCGCCGCCTATGAATACGAAAGCAAAATCTAAGGCATTTGGGAAAAATGAGTATGCCCCGCAGCGTTCGATAACAACCACCTTCCAGTGGGTCAAGCCAACGGGGCCCAAGTCATATACCTAATGGCACTTAACGACAGCACTAACCTTGTCTCACTTTTCGTTGAAGTCTGTTCCGAATGGTTTCGGCCACAGACTGGCTGCACTGAGGTCATTTGGTATGTGCAACTGTAATTAAAGCCACCTAAGGCGCCCTGACCAGGCTGAAGCTGGGTTGGAAATGCTTCGTCTTTGCAGATACCACTGGCCGCTGATTCTCGAGTGCCTGAACCGGTAGATGTCGTGGCAAGATTTGGTGTGATAAGTTGAACCTTTTACCGCAGTCAGCGCACCCTAAAGCCCCAAGAAAGAAACGCCCCACCCAGAGCTTCTGGATTCTCGTTCCAGGCCACCGTTCCTTCACCCCAGCTCGCCGCCGCGCTCCCTCACCTCAGCCCTCCGTTCCCAGCTTGACGAGCGTTTGGGCCTTATTAAGCCTTGCTGTAGGCTTCCTGTATAAACCCATCGAGACAGCCCGTCTCGGTGAGCTTAGTTGGCAAACTACTGCCATTGGGGAGGGTTTCTGGCGGATCACTGTCCCAATAGGTTTAGATGCGACCGACTGTGTCTGAATGTTTGAGCGGTCTCCTCCCGCTGTGAGCTAGTTTCAGTTGATATCTGTCTCAGAAATACTTTTTAAAGGAAGGTTAAACGGAAATAGAACGTAAAATGAACAGAGGAAATGGTAACGAGTTACCTCATTGAAGAATAGCGCTCGCCTACTTCAAAAGGGTTGGCACCGTTCTTCAACATCTGATATGCGATCGGGGTATGGCATAATTTTTCCCATTGGAGCTTTTTCTAATACAGCAACAAGAAAAGCGTTTCATCGTCCACTGGCGGATCCAGGGAGCGGGCATTTAAAGCAAATATTTACTCCCCCTCCCCCTGGCCCCTGCATCGCCCGAAATAGACAAAACGTACCTTCCTTATGTTTCCTAATAATAACACTTTTATCAGGATTTTTTTTTGTTTTATACTGTTCAGCAGTAGGTCCGTAAGGAATCGAAATCCGAGGAGTTTTTGGATTTTGGACACTTTTTTTGGGGGGGGGTATGTCCCATACAGCGTCGAAAACGCCTTTCTGGATCCGCCTATGACATCATCTCGACTGGGATCTTGCCCCCCCCACGCCAAAATCGAATCCGCCGCCACTGTCCCTAGCCATACCTCATTGATGCAGGATGCTAGAGGCCATTGTCATTGCCGAAAATGTTTGGGTATTTTACATAGGCAATGCAATACAATAGTGAACCGTATTCAATAGGCTTAGGTCACGAGCAACAAAAATCAAAAGTTGTATGACCCGAGTCGCTCAGCGTTCGCGACTCAGCCCATCGTTCTAAGATCGGTCGTGACGTCATCCAGCGTCGAGTCAACCCCTCCCAGGGGACTGCCCCGGGATCCCACTGTGTCAGCCAGCTGCCTCTCGAGCTCCTGCTGGCTGGTGGGCCGCCGCCGGCGCTGCTTCTCCCTGCTGCCTCTGTCCCTGTGCGTACACGCGTGAACGGGGAGCGGTCGCCGGCGGCGGGCCCACTCTGCCCGGCGTGTAATTAGAATTACCTTCAACGGCTGCCGGCGGGCAGACAGCGGGGAGTCGCCGGTCGGCGGGGGCGGGCCCGGCAGCGGGATGTTCGAACTCGGCCTCCGCGCCGTGTCGGTCCGGCCGCAATTATCCGGCGCCGGTAGCGCGCGCCGACCTGCCAAACGGCAGAGAAACGACCGGCCGCACGACTAATTTGCATTGCACAGGTGTTGATGCAGCAGTATGGCACACCTAGGGGGCCGGCACCGGTGGCAGCCGGCGTGAAATATGGCCCGTGCGGCCGCATCGCTCACCGCACGGGGGCCGTGTGTGGCCGCGGCAGGCCGCTGGCGTGACCGGCGGCAGTGGCCCGGACCGAGCGGGGCGCATCCCGGGGCCCCACCTGCAGCCGCCCCCGCCCCCGCCCCCGCCGCAGACCGCCGCCGAACCACGCACCGCAGCTCGACACTGCGTAATTCATAAATCTTGTATACTGCGCCGATGTGACTAGGCAATTGCTCTATGGTCAGCGTAATGACGGCCTTTGTTGGCGGCAATGATTGGCCGAGAGGGTAACGAATTGCACGGCGCCACCCGTTACTCAAATATTCAACGCCCGAGTTGAGTCACCGGCAATAGACAACTTTTGCAGAATTTAGAAAAAATGACGATATTGGGAAAGTTTGTGAATGGAGACGGGCTGAGGTGCGCTTTAGTGCTTTAGTTTGGCAGCGCGCATGGCTGGATTGAGTTGTAATACATTTTTATGTGTAAATGATACCATTCAACCCCATTAGCACGCATTAAATGATCCATAACGCCGACGAAGGCTCTACGTCGCCCCATGGTAGCGGCGTGATAGATAGTGAACCGCACTCATCCATCCCGGTTACGACATCTGAAAGGGCTGTTCCAGTCCTAACAGCACATGCTAGACCAATTAGCAACACGAAAATTACGGACCGCGCGCGGCGCTCTACAGTCCGGCCATGGTCCGCCCCCAGCCGCAGCGGGCCGCGGGTCTGACTGGACCCACGGTCCACCTCTGCCGCACAGTACGGACAGACAGGGCCACCACCGGCGGGCCGTGCGCGGTTCCGTGTCAGCGGCCGGGCGCATCCTTCCGGCTGGCCGGCACAGAGGCACACGCGCCGTCTGCAAATAGCACCCGCATTACCGGCCCTAAAATGGGCAAATTGTCGTTGGAGCGCGTTCGTCGTGCTCCTAATGGTGATGGATAATCAGGTGATTAGCATATGAGCCGGTGTTTTACCCCGCTAAGCGGCGTGTCCAGCGCCCGGCCCATGGTAATTAAATTAGCGTGCAGGTGGCCGCGAGAGGTAGCGGCGGGCAGAGATGACCGGGGGCTGACTGTGGGCCGCGTAGGACCAGATTCGGCGGCCGGTAAATACACGTCGGGTTAGGACACAGTGGTCGATTGGGAACTACCTGGTTGAACCAAACATATGGCGAGGGGGCTATCGCCCAGGTGTTGTTATTTTACAGAACATACGGACGTACACAACCCAGCGATTATTCAATTACTCATTATTCAAATTGCAGTTTGTATGCTGATAACGCGCGGTTCAAGGCTTGGTAAATTGCGTTCATCACACCTTGTTTCCGTTTAAAAATGACCATGATGATAACCTGCATATCACATTTGATACTGTTCTTCGTAAGAAAACTGGTGTGCTCCACAAACATCAATCATCTAATATTCTTTTAAGGCTCGTTGTATGTAAGGCATTTGATGATATCGTTTTTTTTTTGTTTTACTTTAATGACCTCCTTACAATGATAATGAAACTTTCATCTCAATTCGTTATTTTTTATATGAATTTTCGGCCACGGGCCATGATCACATATACATATAGTCAAAAGCAAAGTCAAAAGCAAGTTTTGACTTTGCTTTTGACTATATGTATATGTGATCATGGCCCGTGGCCGAAAATTCATATAAAAAATAAACGAATTGAGATGAAAGTTTCATTATCATTGTAAGGAGGTCATTAAAGTAAAACAAAAAAACGAAATCATCTAATATGGTAAATTATATTCGTGATTAATGTGCCGTGATGACTATTACATAAACAATGAGGCTACACAGAAATAAATTTTATCCCCATTTTCAGAACACTATTTGAAAAGTCTAACTTAACGGTGAAACAGCTCAAAATGATGTTACAAAGCATTAAAATCTAGAAATGTATACAATGTTGCAGGATTTATTGACTTCCATAATATGTACGACTACATAATATGTACATTCCATAATATGTACTATATGTACACGAGTACATATAGTTAGCCATGTAGAATATTGCAGTCCTTTCGATTGAGATTTTCGAATTTATGCCCGTATAACAAAAAACAAGTTTTTGAGCGTATTCTCAGCCCTGGACTTGAGAATAACAGCCCTGAATCGCGATCATAAACGTGTTGCATTCAGCGAAATACATAAACTAAAAGGAAGAAGAAGAAATAAACGAAACAAAAATGCGGTAGCTGAAAAAAAAAATTGTCGGTGGCGTGTGCGAGTGCCCCGTGTAACCTTCTCTTTACCTGTGTGTGTGTGTGTTGCAGGGAAGCAGCTCAACGTGAGCATCACGCTGATTACCAAGCCGATGCAGGTGGTGATGATCGGCAGGGCGATCAAGGTCACCGTGGACGGACCCAGGGACCCGCGCAACAAGTCACGTGAGTTTAACAGGACACGGGTAGTTGACCCAGGGCGACGCGGAACAAAGTCACATGAGTTGAGCGGAACCCACGAAGCTTGCTCTTACCCTATCGGGTGTTCTCCCAAAATCAATGACATGATCTCGCAGTTTTAACCTTACTGATCTAAGTTGAGACTAGTTTGCTGTACTCTTGATGTCGTCCTCCCCCCCCGGCCCCCCCCCAACCTAACCTGACCCCTCTTCTGTTCCAGGTTGCGACTTCTACCCTGGCCTGGGCTTCCCGAACCCGTGGCTGGAACATCGTCTGGCAGGTCACCTGCCCGCTGGCTGCCGCCTGGTTACCTGGCTTCCCGGGCCACCCGGCGGCCGACCCACGCCTCAGCGAGGCTCTCCTGCACGGCCTGAACGGTGAGCTAGACGGTGGGCCGCGGGTTGGATGGGGAGAGTCAAGAATTTGTGTTTGGTGCGAGGTAGAAGAGTGGATGGTGTGAATGCGTCATGAGGGGAACATTTGTTTTGAGTCTGTATAAGGGGCTTTTCGAATAAGTATGAGGTTCGATCTAGTGTGTAAAGGGAGAGCTTGAGGGTTTCACTTTACGAGACTATAGGAGGAAAATGATAGCGTATTCAGTTCTGATTTCTTGTCGTCAGTGAGAATCTCTGTCACCATCTCAAACTGTCCGTCCCCAGCCTGACCCCTCCCACACTTACCAACACCCCGTTTCTGTTTCAGGTGGTCTGGCCCGCTCGCCGCTGACCTGCCTGTCCAGCCGGGCGCCGCTGCTGACCAGCGCCCCACTCCCTCCCCCCGCCGGGGGATACGGGGCGCCGGGGCCGCGGTCCGCCTTCCACGCCGTGGCGCGGCCGGCCGCCGAGCCGGGATGGTCGCCGCTGGGCGCTCTGCTGGGTGCCATGTCCGCCCAGCGGCTGCTGGCCAGCAGTGGGGGCGCGGCGGGTCAGCAGGGGGTCGGAGGGGGCCGACTCGCCCTGTGCCGCCAGCCCGCGGTCACCGCCGACGGCTGAGGTGACGGACGGGGACGGCAGCCCGACCAAACTCTGGAGGCCGCATGTGGACTGAAAGGGGAGGGGAGGGTCCAGGGAGGGAATAGATCTCATTGTGAGGCGTGTGTTGGAGTGATATTGTACTGCAGACGGTGTTATAATAAATGTGCTTATTTATAAATAGTTTTTTGTCATTAAAATAAAGCTTATCCGTATCACAATCTAGTACCGTCGGTGCGTAAATATTAAGTGCAATGCGACGCAATATCATTAAACTTATGGAAAGCGTAGTTCTGCTGACAATCGTACTCATATTTGGACTAATCTCACCTGAAGCCTGCCACACGCTGTCCTGCATTCAGTAATATGTTTCATTCCAGCGTCAGCCGGTGTAACATACAATCAGCCTAAGTTGCGGGGCTGGTTTAATAAAACGAATGCCACCGCTTTCTCGGTTGCCACCTTTCTCACAGCCTGCTTTTACATTCCACGTTCAGCCAACGACAGCCATGCAAATTACATCCCTTTTCAGCCACGCGGATTTTCCCGTCCAGTGAAACACAATACGAATGAATTAAAACTCTTGATTGGTATTTAGATTGGGAAGCCTGAAGCGCGCGTGCTGGGGGAAATTTGACGGGTTTCCAGGGCGAAAATGTCACCAAATATGCAGCCCTGGTGGAGACGATAGCGTGGATTAGACGGCGAATGGCCGCCAGTGGAGTGGCGAAGAGAAGCGAGGGAGGAGAAGAGGAAGGAAATAGACTGCGTGCAATATAAACACGAACCGAGATTAGAAGGGTGTGACATATATTATTTTCGGGACTACGAATTTGGATATCAGCGGCGTTCTTACATATTAGCCCACAGCTGACTATGCTGACCGCTCGTAGACATCATCCACTAGATTTGGGGCCTCTTGACAAATGATATCAGTCAAATGATAATCCTAGGCTAACGTTATAGCTTACCTTAGAGCTTTCAAAGCGTCGATTTACTAAGAAATGCATTTGAAAATTGAAAATTTATCATGAAACTTGACGAGCCGTATCTACCTACATAGTTCTTATGAGGCGCCTTTCATATGGTGAAAAATTTGAAATTGAAACATTTGATTTCACACAGTGTGTGCAGGAATACAGATTAATTTTGCAATTCACCTTTGCATTTTCTAGTTTCGTTTTAAAGGTTGCTACATGCTTCGCAGCTGACTAGTCAGGTGAGGTGTATTTATGTGGCGATACCATTCTCGTGAAATCATACGGGTTATATTTAAAAAATCGTCGTGTTCTGTGCGTCGGATGTGCATACTCTTCACATCTAAACTGCACCTGGAAAATACTGCGTCAAAACAGCAAAATAGAACAAAGAACACCATGTCCCATTATGTGTTTTGGGCCTCGACTGTTGATGAAACACTTTTTGGGGAGATCCTTTAAGCCTAAAAGCACGCATGCTCCCCGGCCCGGTTGGGGAGCCAGGCCGCGGCGGCACCACTTGAAAGGCAGCGCGGCGAGCGTCTGGCCACGCTCCCCACCGCCGGGGGCGTCCCTCTCCCCGCGCACGCCCCTAATCTTTTATCTGCGCTCCCCCTTATAATTTATCCCGCATCGATTCGTTTTATCTAAAATCCATCCACGCGACTCTTTGTCATTGGCGACCTTTTATTCCCGTTCTTTATCCCCGAATCCCCTCGTCTGACCAGGCTGCATAATCGGCCGGCCAGAGAGCAAACCCCGCGCCCCGCCAGATTTCACCCCTGATTTGGCCGCTCCCGGCGCGCCCCTGTGTAATTTCGACGCGCCGCGCCGGCCGCCCCATCGGGCCACCTCGCCGATGAAGAAATCAGACGACATTACCGTGCCAGCTGACAGGCAGAACGGATGCCGGGTGGGGAGCCGCCGCCGCCACCGCTGCCGCCGCCGCGCGCCCGCTGTCGTCCCGCGGTACCCTGCTCGGCACAGCGGCGGCAGAGGGGAGCCGATCCGACTTATTGTTATGATGAAGAACAAATAATTCCCCAGTTGATGAATTATGCGAAAAGGGGTGGGATTAGAGCGGCTCAGCGGCGCCTGCGACCCTCTGATCCGCTGAAGTGGGCCAGCCGCCGGCGTGACGCAGACTCGTCGCTCTGCCGTCCTGCTGCACGCCACAACAATGCAGCACTTGGGACAAACTTGGCGCAAATTACGGTGGCTCTGGTGGTATTCACTGGCTTGGCGCGGACGGCTGTTGTTCGACAGTCCTCGGGCTAATTGGTAGCAGGTTCAATTAACGCGAATCAATACCCCAGCTGGCTGATTACATTTGGGTATGGGTACAACAAAATGGAGCCCGGCGGCGTGAGAGCAAGCAGACAAGGGAGATTCAGATTGAAACATCGGTTTCTCCAGAGTCTGTAGTTAATTGTGAGCTTTAACAAGTAAAACTACGGAAACTGACCGTGCTGTATTTTTATATTGATCGCAGAAATTGTATCGTTTGCGTGTAACTTCTAGTAATGTAATATCTAATGCGTTTCTAACCAGACGAAATTACATATAATCAATGATTTCTCGCGCAAAACTCGAGAAGGCAGCATCGAGCGTCTCAATTAGTAAAGCTAATCTTGTGCATGTGTATTTCATAATTCAAACATGTGCATTAATTGATAAATTCAGATCTTCTTTGTAATCAGCTCAACTGTCCACAACTCTCATTCAATTCATTAATCATTATCTGCATTTCTGTTACCTTGGGTAGTCGTAAAAATAACCCCATGAAAATGTCGGACAACTTTCTTTTCATCTTAACCCGCGCGGGGGGGGGGTAAATTTTCCCCCCCCCTCGCGAATTTTTGCGATATCTCAAAAACGGCGGCGCGCAGCGCCGCCAAACTTTCAGTACCTTTTCTTACATCAATTTGACACGTTCCCTGAAAATTTGAGCGAAATCCGTCGGAAATTTGTTGAGATATTGACGTTTTAGTGACGTCATGTTCGCCATTTTCGCCTCAAAAACGGCAAAAGTTCAAACGCCGCTAACATCTTCATTTTTAAAGGAATCAAGACGTAACAAAAAAGGTTATACGTAATTTTACTTTGTCTATCAAATGGCTATCTCGTTTTTTTGAAAATTTTGGATTTTGGCCTAAATTTTTTCAAAAAACTGACTTTTTTGGGAAAATCATTATAAAATCCAAAATTTTGAGTCTATCGAAAAAACCGGAAAAAATGTCAGAGAAGTGGTCTATGTGCACCTACATACCAAATTTTAGAAGAATCGGTTCAAAAATGTGGGAGTTATTCAAAATTTTATGACGTCACGACACACAAATTTTTTGAAAAATGACTTTTTTGGAAGTTCTAGACCTCGTACGAAAACAAAAATAGCACCATTCGATTCGCCGTGAAAAACTGCATCAGATAGACGCCTTTTTAGGCCTTAACAACCAGCTTCAAAATTTGACCTCACTTGACCTGACCTTGACCTGACCTCGACCTGAAAATCATCCAGAGGTGGTCCATATCACTTATTGAGTGTGCCTATTGAATTCTATGAGTAAAATGACCCATAAAACATGTGTCGCACATGCCCTTTTCTATATTTTGTTTTTTGGTGACCTGACCTGACCTGACCTGACCTGACCTTGACCTCTGAATGATATTGTA